GGGGTCACTTGGCCGTTTTCGATCTAAATGTTTTTTCCCTTGTGACTTGCGGCCATGTGTCATGTGGAGCCCAAGAACTTGTTTTCGAGAGTGCCAGGCAATGCTGGATGCCCTAATGGGCCCCGGGCGCAACCAGTTGGTGAAGGCTAGGGAATGCGCTCAAATTCAATGCAGCTTCAGATACCAGTGTGCAGCGCAGGACGAAGCGAATGCCAAAGAAAAGCCGGACCGCCAAACATTTACCAGGAAAAACCAGAGCTCATGGATTCACGATTGCATTAGCCCGCTTTCAATCCCAACACTCCTAAGGTTCAAAGACGCGACTGTTTGCAAAGCTTACCTTGGTGGTCTTTGCCCTTTGGATGGGTAGGGTGGCTGAGCATTTTGTGCTATTGGTGCAAGATCGCCTTGCAACCACCTGCAAATATTACATATTTTGAGCGAGGTCGCTGCTGGGCGGGAAGAGGAAATTTCCGGTGTGTGAGAAGTGCACCTGTCACGGTTGGAAAGATCGGTGTTGACACTGGTCAGATTTCATGGCAAAACCTTATTTTATGACAGGATCCACTCAGATCTGATGAAGGACCCGGACAACGAAAACAGCTTGGAGATTGTTGGTGGCAATCTGACATGTACTGTGGTGAGGAGCAGCTCAACAAGCATCCTGATGCAGAGGCAGAGGGGTCAATAGGGTGCTTGGCCGAGGGCATTTGGGTTGAGGGCTCTGCATATGTCGCCGTCGAGGTCCCTAAACCAATGTCGCCTTCCAGATTTCCATGGTCACATGCCTTCCATCGCCCACATGACATATCCCACAATCTAGAAAATGAAGCAGTTGACAATGAGGAGAGGGAAACCTCCCAGGCTGGATACTTCCCCAATAGCGATAGCTTACTCTTTAGGTGGCTGGGCGCCGTCGGATCCACGGCCCCAAGCCTGGGCGGTGGTGTCCCTGTGTCTTTAGGTGGTGTCTCGGTCATGTTTACGTCGCCTCTCGGTCATGTTTCGGTGGTGTCTTTCGGTGATGCTTAGGTGGTGTCTCGATCATGGTTGGTGTGTCGGTCATGTTTCGGTGTCTTGCTCATATTTGGGTGTTTTGTTCTGTTTTGCTGTTTTGGTGGTGCGTCGGTTCTGTGGCGGTGGTTCGCTGATAGTTTGGTTGTGTTTCGCTTATGCAGTGGTTGTGTCTCGGTCTGAATCTTGGTGCGTGTATGAACTGTGCGTTTGCGTGTGCGTACGCCTGATGCACAGTGCACGCTGGCGCTCAAGCATCATGCCGCGCCTACTGTATAGATTAGGCGTCGACATGTAAAAAAATTGTTTCGCTTGAGAGGAGCATCCTTTGTATTGCACAAAAAAGGTCTTAGCTGGCTAGTAATTGCGTGCCGCATTCAGTGCACCTAGGTGATCGAACAGACAATTCGGAAAACATTTGTTCAGTACTTGGTGATCAACAGAACATGCGTTTGGCTTGGGCATTGGGCTTGTTTGTAACTTTGCGCCAAAAATTTGCGATTTCATTTCAACATGTTTTGGTGTTGGTGAAAAATTGTTTTCGAGGTGTGCAAATCTCCTTGCTTGACACTTTGTTTCTTGTATCGTTCGTGTCCACCCACTGCTGAGATGTAGTTTTTCTGCTTAATTTCGATAAGCATCCTCTTTGCTTAGCAATACTTTGTAAAAGCAGTGCTACACTGGCGTGTCCAAAAGTGCACCTTCCCTGGCGCCAGAACTTAAGGTATGGTTTTTCTGACAACTGCATTCTTTATATCTTTCGTGTGTGAATTATGCGTTCGCCTTTAACTGCACTTTCTGTCTGGTTTGGCAATAGTTTGTTGTTATTATATATGTTCTTTGTTTCCTTCATTCTTTGTTAGAATTGAACTTGCAAGCGTGTGCGAAAACATATATATATATATATATGCACACATACCTCTCCTTGGGCGAATCTTTTGTTGTCCTGTATAGAACTTCGTGGTTTATGGAAATTACACGTAGCTTGGATATCTATTTTGCTTGTGTTGTAAAAACTACTGGAACGCATTTCCTTTATTGTGTTCTTTACAGAATTGTGCTCGATGATCTAGATGTGTAAAAGCCACGCAACGAACAACGCGTGCAGAAAATTGCGCCACATGTTGGCGGATGCTTTGCCATTGGGGTTGTCAGCTGGGTTAATGTTTTGGGTCTTCCGCAAAATCACAAGAACCAAATCCAATCTTGAAGAACGCAAACCATTTTTTGTCCTTCCCCAGCCTTCACACCTTTAGCTGCCCGAAACCAGCAAAGATCAAGAGGTGGCTTTACCGCTCTGGCGGGACAGTCTTGTGACATCGATTTGTATAACCTCCGTCCATGCAGTGCACAGGAAGTTGGGCTGGACTCTTGAGTCAAAAGCTGCCACGCAGTCATCAACCAAGCCCACACTGCCAGAAACTCAAGCGGGAGTACGAGCGACTGTCCTTCCGTGAGATCGAGATGGCCCAGCACCTGGACTGTCGATGTGGCGGTTTGAGATGACCAAGTTGCCGGAAATTGATTGTGAAACACTGTGAGCCTGTCAGCTGGAGGTCATTCGCGAATGTGAAGCTCACATCGCCAGCAACCAAGCAGTGAATCCTTCCTTTCGACCTCTGAAAGTTCACATCTTGCAAGCCCAGCCGGGAAACGTGGCTAGTCTCCAGCCTTCGATGTGGGAGCAAGCTTCTAGCACAACTTATCCCGTCAATCGGGTGAGACATGGCTCCTGTTGTTAGAGGCTTTGGAGAACAACCGGATGCGAGAGGCTGAACCGTGGGAGTGGCAGCTCTGAGTGAGTTGGTGTGGAACCCCTTCTTTATCAGAGCTTTATGCTGACAGGATGTTCGACGAAAGAAACCTCCATTGCCAATCCAAGTCAATGACAGGCATGGCCGACCTGAGAGTTGATATTGCTTCCCGTATCTGATATGGCAGCCCACGTGCCAAGGGTGGCACAAATGAAACGTGAGAGTTCCGTCCCAGCCTAAATGTGCTGTTTTGCCCACATGCCTGTGCGAATGAAATCTAACCTCATGTGCCAAGGCATTGATGCAGCGTGCAGAAGCTTTAGACGATGACAAGCTGAAGGAAAAAGAGGCTTTGATTCAGCAGGCGTGGTATTTGTGGTCCAAACAGTGCCATTTTGCCCTTGGAAATAGCAACTTTCCAATGGACAACTGACATGCAATTCCTGGCCCTTGTGTTACCCACAGATAGCTCCAAATTGTGGCATACTGTAGCTGCTTGCCGGTGCGGACTGTTCAATGGACAAGAAAGTTGATGAGGCCAATGATGTGCTGAAAGAGCGCCCCTTGTCCATACATCAATGTCAACAATTCATCACATGATTTTCATGAGACGTGTCCCAGCATTGTTTCCTAACTGACATGTGTTTTTTCTTTGTGCGCCTCCAAGGCGAAGAAGTGCTGGAAGAAGAGACTAGGAACTCTGTCGAATGGATACCACTGTGAGTGAATTCTTGGAAACCGACTGTATGACCCTACTGTAGATTTGCCCACGCAATCCATGGGCCAGCTCAGGAAAGCAATCGCTGCCCTACCTCCGCAGGTGCGGGGTGGTGCAGAAGTTCTGGATGTTGGGACCTAGAAAGTCTAAGGCGCAATGTAGGATAATGTAGGTACAGAAGCTGGCAGTTGCAATCCAATTGCATAAACTGATGCAGCCTTGTCAAATAATCCAGCGGCTGCGTCCTGGGCCAGGTTGTTTGCGAGGCAGGATCGCTTGCGTTTGCAGACTGTGGTTGACCTTTGCAAGAGCTGTGATGTCAACGGTGTAATGGGCCCAGGCATTTGTGGCCCTTTCTGGGACCTTCCACTGATGTAATGTTGAGTTCTCTGACCACACGTCATGAGTCATGATGTTCTGTTTGCTGAGGGATGAGGTGGAAGGTTGGGTGGAGGTTAAGGCGGTTAAGGACGTTTGTTTCTTCGCTTCATGAACTTCAATTTTTTTTAAAGCTTTGTTTCATGCACTTTATGCTCATCATCGTTTTATGAGAATGTGCATTTTGCCGGGGAAATGCATGATACGTCATCTTCACTTCCGTTTCATGAAGTTCATTTTCATCCTCGTTTCGTGCACTAACAGAGTTTTGACATGCTGAAAGCCGTGGCATGGGAAACCTGTTCGCCAAGAAGTCTGTTTGAAAACATTGTGCTGTGATTGCTGTGGCGCAAGTTTTGATTTCTGCAGCACCTGACAACTGGTATGCCATTGTGGCAATAACGCCGACAACGACATTGTGTGGACACTCTTGGTAGGCTTGACCCCTCAAAAACCATCCACAAAACAATGACCTTGTGCATTTCCTCCACGAAACGCGTGTTTTCATGAGATCAAGGCACTATGCAGATGTGCAAAAGCACAGGGGCCTATAACATTGTTGTCCTCATGTATTCCCTGAAATGCCTGGAGTCTGAGCTAGGAATTATGAACTCTTCCAATCACAAAGTATGTAGAGAAGCCGTTTTGTTGCAGAATGCCACGATCAAGGACCTGAAGCTAAAGATGACAAAGACAGTTTTGTTTGGTGGTTGATGTTGGCCACACCATCTATGTATATACACATACATATACATATACTATACGCACACACATACAGAAACATATATATATATATACATATAGCCATAGATAGATAGATATGAAACAAAAAAAATATAAACAATAATATGTATATTTGTGCTTCTGCAGTTCGAGCGCTGGCTTTTTGGCTCCATGAAAGGCTCATTTCAGTCCTATGTTGTGGAGGGATGCATGCCCTATACTATCTCAACGTTGCACTCACAACAGGGTAAGCAGCGGACATTTCACAAACAGAAATGGTGGCAAAATAGCCCTACAGACAGAGATCACATATCATGAAGAAGGCTCGCAGAGCTGCAGTCATGGCAACGCTGATAGGTTTTTATTTCAAGAGAGCTTCGACCAAGCACATTCATTTCCATGTGAGGGTTGTTTGTCTCGAGTGGGTCTGGGCAAAACATTTGATGGTCCGAGCCCCCGTCGAAGGGCCGGTCGCCCGGCCTGATGGAGCTTCACAAGGCTCCCGATCAGCCCTTCGCAGTGCCTGTGACTCGCCGATCTCCTGAGTGGGGTTGGCTGGAGTACTTGCTGCATGCCAGCTGCGCCAAGGCTATAATTTTGGATCATTCTAGCATTCTTGGAGCTGTCAGAGGACTCACACAAATTTGATGTTGACAAGTGAGCTGAGGCAGCACTTATAGAATACGACTACGCTCAGCATGGTCTGTAGCAAACAAGCGGCTGAGCATGGAGTTCGACTCTCGTTGCAAGGGGCCTCCATGCTGCATTTATACAGAATTGAGAGGAAAATTATCCCGGCAAGAGACCCCAGACAGTGTGTGTGTGAGGTCTAGAGGTGTAGCAGAAGGTCTAGAGATCTAGATGCATTGAGGTCCAAGGAGGTGATGGTGGTGATGAAGGTGGAGATCGTGGTGATGGTGGTGGTGATGATGGTGGTGATGATGGTGATGTAAAGTACCCCTTGCATATCTAGCTTGACATTGGCTCGCAGTACCGTGAGTGAGTGCCTGAGTGAGTGAGTGAGTGAGTGAGTGAGTGTGAGTGTGAGTTTGAGTGTGAGTGTGAGTGTGAGTGTGAGTGTGTGTGAATGAGAAGAGTGAGTGGGTGTGAATGTGAGTGTGAGTGAGAGTGACGGTGAGGAGTGAGAGAGTCAGAGTGAGTGAGAGTGAGAGTGCGAATGAGAGTGAGAGTGAGAGTGAGCGAGAGTGAGTGTGAGCGAGAGTGAGTGTAAGTGTGAATGAACGTGAAGGAGTGAGAGAGTGAGCATCTGAAAGCCCAAGTGCTGCGCCTGCCACGAAATTTGCACTTCGAGGTTCACAAAGTGCTGTGCCTGCCATGAAATCTGCACTTTGAGGTTCACAAAGTGCTGCGCCTGCCACGAAATCTGCACTTGGAGGTTCACAAAGTGCTGCGCCTGCCATGAAAT